TCAAGCCAGTGAACAATTTTTGCTACACCAACAACCTTTAGTAACTATTTCGATTGTCTTTAGTTGGAATCTTCTGGAGAATGATTTCTCCTTTCACTTACAAACTTCACGAACAAAGTGTAACGCACATCTATGTGTTGGTCCTCGCATGGTGAATCCTAATACTTACCAAATAAATGGCATTCTAACTATCACAACTGCACCTCCACCTGCTTCTGATCACCCCAAATCTCTAATCACCCTGTATCAAATGACCTCCTTTAAGCTTCAGCAATGCCATATATTCAGCTTCTGTAGTAAACAAGGCACATACGACTACAAAGTGACCTCAACCAAACTGGTTCTTTGCCATAGTAACACATAGCTTGTAGTAGACTTCCTTCCATCCAGATCACCTGCCATTAATCTGAATCAAATAACAACTGCAAAATGCCCAAATACCAGTCCGAATCTCTCTCAAAGCATAAACCAACATCTCGATACCAGGAGATACCTCAATATCCACTTAGCTGCTTACCAATGCTCTTACCTGGATTATGCATATATCGACTCACCTGCAGCTGCATGAGCAATATCCGTCTTGAGCATACCATGCTACATCAAATACAACTCATTACTATGGTATATTTTTCATTTGCAGCTTCTCCTTATAGCTTTGTAGGACATTGTAGATAATTCAATTTAAAATGAGGAGATGAGCAATAAGGGGTACATACATACCGGTTTGGGTTGTAATCATGACTCCAAAACTTCCGATCAATTTCTCAGGTATTGTCTTTGATTTCCAAGCTATGCCAAACTATCTCTGTCTCTAGTATCTCTATGTCAAGGATCTTTTTTGCTTCACAATCCTTCATCTCGAACTCATTCTTCATTTGCTTCTTCAATTTCTCAATCTCTTCGACATTCTTTAAGGCAATCAACATATCATCAACATATATCAATAAATAAATGAAATACCCAACTTGCAACTTCTTGAAGTACACACAATGATCATATTGACTTTTAGAATAATTTTGGCCTCTCATAAATTTATCAAACCTCAAATACCATTGCTTTGGAGATTGCTTCAAGCCATAAAGTGATTTCTTCAATTTGCAAAACAAATATTCCTTCCTTTTCACTATATACCCATCCGGTTGACACATATAGATCTCTTCATTCAAATCACCATGTAGGAAAGTCGTCTTCACATCGAGTTGCACAAGCTCAAGATCATATTATGCAACAAGAGCTAACATAATACGAATTGAGGAGTGCTTCACAACCGGAGAAAATATTTCATTGTAGTCAATGCCCTCCTTTTGTGCATACCCTTTAGCAACTAATCTTGCATTGAATCTCATATTGCTTTTCTCATCAACATCTTCCTTCTTGGCATACACCCATTTGCAACCAATAGCTTTCTTACCTTTAGGTAACTTAGCTAACTCCCAAGTCTTGTTCTTCAAGAGAGAATTCATCTCATTTCCTATGGCATTGCACCACTTCTTATTTTCCTCCTCTCAATGGCTTCCTCAAAATTGGATGGAATCTCATCAGTGATAATAGGAAGAGCAAAAACAACATAGTCACTATACCGAGCTGGCTTGGTAATTTGTCTTTTTCCTCTGTTCTTGGCAATAAACTCTTGAGGTGAAACTTGCTCTTCAACTTGAATAGAATCTTCATGTTCAACTTCTTCAACATCCTCATGGTCTCCCACTTCTTCACTTGTAGTGGCTTCGACATCAACGGAAATAGGATTTGAAGTACCAAAGGCAACTTTCTCAAGCTCCACATGTTGGACATCTTTCACATTCTTCTCAGAGTTTCTGAATATAATTTCTTCATCAAATGTCACATCTCTACTGATTACCAGTTTCTTCATCTTTGGACACCACAACCTGTAACCTTTGACACCACTACTAAAACCAAGAAAGATAGCCTTTTTGGCTCTATGATCAAGTTTATTTTCAGTTACATGAAAATAAGCAGGTGAACCAAAAATACGGATATAGTCATAATCAGAAGAAGGTTTTCCAGTCCATTCCTCCATTGGTGTCTTACCCTGAATAGCAGCTGAGGGTAACCGGTTGATGATGTGACATGCATAATTAACTGCCTCTGCCCAAAATGACTTGCTTAAACCCGACTGAGACAACATACATCTAACCTTATCAAGCAAGGTTCGATTCAATCTTTTTGCAACGCCATTTTGTTGTGGAGTTTCCCGGACACTAAAATGTCTCACAATCCCTTCCTCTTTGCAAACTTTAAAGAAAGGGTCGGATGTGTATTCACCACCATTATTCGATCTCAAAATCTTGATCTCAAAATCTTAATCTTTCTCCCAGTTTGGTTCTTAACCATTTTCTTCCAACCCAAGAAAATGTTCAACACCTCACTTTTATGCTTCATAGTGTAGACCCAAGACCTCCTTGAATAATCATCAACAAAGGTCACAAACCAATGTTTACCACTCAAAGAGGGAGTCTTTGTAGGACCCCAAACATCTGAATGACCATAATCAAGAATGCCCTTCGTCTGATGTACTGCAGTACCAAACTTCACTCTAATTTGTTTTCCCAAGACACAATGCTCATAGAAATCAAGCTTACAAGTCGTGACACCTTTTAGAAGACCTTGTTTCACAAGCCCTTGTAGAGTTTTCTCACCGGCATGGCCTAATCTCATATGCCACAGTCTAGTAGTATCAGAATCGGATGTGCCCATATTTTCTGAGACTACAGATGCTTCACCTGTCACAGTGCTTCCTTACAATAAATACAAATGGCTACATCGAGGAGCTTTCATCACAACAAGTGCACCATAAATAACTTTCAATGTCTGTCCATCTGAATGAAACCTGAAGCCCTTGGATTCCAAAGTACCCAAAGAAATAAGATTTTTCTTCAAATTCGGTACATATCGAACACCTGTCAACTTTTTAACCATGTCATCATGCAACTTCAAACGAACTGTACCGATCCTTTTTGTTGTGCAAGGATTGTCATCTCCCATGAACACAACGCCACCATCAAATTCTTTCAAGCTGGAAAACCAATCATTGTGAGGAGTCATATAATGAGTAACCGTATCCAACACCCACTTAGTAGCACAATCAAATGATGAGGAAGTGGTTAAAGAAAAATCAGAAAAATCAGAAAAATCAGAAAAATCAGTTTCAACCTCAGCAACATTAGCTTCAGAACTTTCTTTGCCTTTGGTCTTCAATCTAGGACAATCTTTCTTCCAATGGCCATTATTACGACAAAAGACACATTGATCAATTTCCAAAGGTTTTCTACCTTTAGAGTTTCCTCTAGGTCGAGACTGTGATTTTCTCCTACTAGAAGAGGATCTCCTCTCCGATGATCTACCTCTAACAAATAAAGCTTCAGAGGTACTATCATGATTTTTATCTCTATGCCTCATTTCATAATTCATCAAAGCATTTGACACATCTTCAAATTTCACAGTTTCTTTACCATGCATAATAGTGGTAACAAAATGCTAATAAGAGTCCGGCAAGGAATTCAACAATATTAAGGCCTTATCTTCATCCTTAATATCCTCATCTAAATTTAACAAGTTGGCAATCAACTTATTAAAAGCATCAAGGTGTCTAATCATTTTTGTACCTTCTTTGTATTGGAAGCAGTAGAGTTTTTTCTTCAAGTGTAGCCGGTTCTCTGCACTCTTCGTCATATACTTGTTTTCCAATTTTTGCCACAACACACTTGCTACTGTCTCCCGCATCACAAAATACTTCTGAGTTTTTGCAAGGCACAACCACCGAATTGAAGAGCAAGCCTACAAATTTAATTTCTCCCATTCCAGCTTCGACATAGCTTCCGGCTTCTCTCCCAAAACGGCAAGTAGATCTTGTTGAGCCAACACATCTTTGACCTCACATTGCCACATCCTGAAGTTGTTTGTGCCATCAAACTTTTCCACTTCGAACTTTGCATTTTACACCGTAGTTCTTGCAAACCCGGAGCTGCTTCCAAAATGATTCTCATCTTGCCCATCTGACATCTTTGGCAACTAGATAGTACCCAAGAGCAACCAGTGCTCTGATACCAATTGTTGTGCTAGGATAGCACCAAACCCATTGAAACCAATTCAAGCTAACCCATAGGAAATATATCAAATGGAATGCAAGAACAAAATATAAAGAACACCAAGATTTTAACGAGGTTCCTCAACAGTCAGTGTAACTGGAGTACATCCTCGGAGAAGTAGAAGCTCACCCAATAATCCACTATCAAACAAATGAGAGTTTACAAAGTGTTGACAAGCTCATAACCCAAAACCCCAATACAACCAATAGCTCTCACACACCAAAGAAACAAATAGAGAAAGAAATATAATGAATAATTGCTTCTCTATACATATAGCTCCGAAGTTATTACAACAACTACTTTGGTGGATGATTACTAACCAAATGAAGCAGCAGCTTCTTCTTCCTTTTGGGCTCTCTGCAACTCTTTATGCTCTCGACAGCTCTCACTTCTCTCTGCAACTCTCAACTGAAAATGAGCTCTCACTCTCTTATTTTTCTCTTCATCCGAAGAAAACCAATAATTATGGCTTTGAAAAAGACACAAAACAAGGAAACATAATCATGATGCCTTCTCATCATGATGTTCCCTCATCATTTTGTCCTTCATTCTTTTGTTTTGTTTATTAGCCGAAAGTGGATGCCAAGTTGGCCACTAATTTGGCCACTCTCCAACAATGTAAATATCTCTAATTCCATTACATGTCATAATTTAAGTAAACAAGAATGAGATTAAAATTACATATCAATTTCATCGTCTACTTATATAATCAAAATTTGGTGTTAGAGATGAGACCACGCTGGATGTTGGGGATGATGATGCAACACATTATACATATACTAAAACTGGGTTCTCTAGCACTGTTTTTCACTATTTATGAACAGTAAAATGGCGGTAATGCCCTTATTTGCTTTGCTGCTCTCCATTGTTTTCCTCCATGCACGGTGGATTTACGTATTTGTCCACGCTGCCCACGCGTCGATCATCGTCGACTGCTCCGCTTCCACCATCTCGAATTTTCCTTCGGTTTCGACTTCTTTCTCTCACAAAGCTGGACTTTTCATTTTCTTCCGGTAGTCCTCCATTTGGTACACGAACTCCTGTTCTCTCTCCCTATTTTGCACGAACCAGAACATATGTTGTCTATCCCGTTCCGATTCAAATAAATTCCTGAAGGGGCTTAGATTTCGTGGTAAGTCCTCTGTCTCTCTGTAGAATTTTGTTTGGATTGGGTTGTTCGTGTTGTTCTCCTGACAACAAAACTAAAATTCCTTGAATTCGCCTCATCGAAGTCCAATTCCACTCTGCCATACCCAGGAAAGCTTGGCTTCCGTTCTGATTTGAAGAAATTTTAAACCCAGAAAGCTTGGGTTTCCAGGTGAGTTCTTTGTTTTGGGTTTGGTTTTTGGTTCTCTTTTTCTTTGTTCAAATTTTTTGTGATTTTAATTTTAAAAATCTGGGTTTTTTTTGTTCAATGGTTTGGTCCATCGTCTTAGCTTTCTCACCAGAGATCTCTGCCATCACTGTTCCACAAAACTCGAGCGTCTGCTCTTTCGAACCAAGTACTTCTTTCACTTTCTGTTTGTTTCCGGGAAAATTTAGGGCTCGAAAGTGTGTAGAGTTGTAGAAGTAAAAAAAAAAAAAATGTCTCAATCTTTATGTTGTCCTGTACACAAATTTGAATTTTGGATTGTGTTTCGGCATACCCATACTGGAATTTTGTGATTTGGAAATTATAGAAGTTAGAACCCAGATAAAATTTCAGATTGGGGTTTTGAACATTGTTCTGGGTTATGGATTAGAACAAAAAGTTACCTTCTAGAAGAGACGTGAAGTTATGTAGTTTTCAGTGTATAAATTGGCTTTTAAACATTGTTCTGGGTTATGGGTTATTACAAAGATTCACCTTCAAGCAAAATTACATTTGATTTACAAGAGGAGATCTTTGAAAATGAGGTCTCAGCTGGCCATGATTCATCGTTATCTTAGAAGAATGGACGCTCTGACATATTCCTTCAACAATAATGCGTGACTTTTAAGTGGACAATTTCACCTTTTGTTTTCATGTCAAACCAACTTGCCTCACATACATGGTTCCGTTGTTAACATATTTTCTTCCATTGGTTCTCAAAGAATCATCTGAATCAGTTCTTGGATGATGATCCAACAATATCTCATTCATGGTTTGGATAGTTATTAAGAATATGATGGGATAACCGAGTTGAGTTCATGAATTAAACTAGGTCGGGTTAATTACACTTTAGCATATGCCTTTTTGACTTAATGTCAATTACTTGACGTTTATCATATGCTCTATGTCCACTGATGCTTTTATTTTTTTATTTTTTATATTGATGCTTTAGCCGTTCCCGTTGTCTACTCTATCGATGTATAAATTGTATCTATAATTTCAAAATACATGTTTTTCATGACAATGTATGATATTTATAAGATACTTTATGTTAGAGTCTAATTCTTTTTCCCTTCCCTTCACTGCAGTCCCGACAAAAGTACTTGGAGACTTGCAGCAGATGCAAACTCTCTTCTTATCTAAAACTGTTTACTATCAGGTCTTTCTTGGTTAGTGATTCTGGTATAGCTGATTACTGTGAATATCAATTGTGTGTTTTGTGCTCCCGGGTTTGTGCTTAGAGCATTGTATTTTCTATATATAAATTTTTTCCTTCAGTTCAATATGCAAGTAGTTTTTCCCTTTTTCGTCTCAAGTATTTGGTTGGTTTTATTCTTGGATTTCCTGATGATTTGAAAATGAAATGTTTGCCAACAGTGTCACATGGGTATCATGGATTGCTCAAAAATGTCTCAAAGACGTAAAGAGATTTATTATGTAGCTCCGACTATGCGGACTACGAAGCTAGCAAACAATGGTGCAGAAATTGCTGTTTGTTCTTGCTAAGGTTTGTAATCCGATGACTAATAAGTTTGTTCCCATATTCGGCACTTCAAATATGTCTAGAAATAATGTTATTTTTACGTAAGTTAGGTTTTCCATTTTTCACTTCTTGCTATGTTATTTCTTTTTGAGGAAACGACTTTAATCACCCTTCCAAGTTTGGAAATTCTTGAGTTGTGCAAATTGTATATTAGAGGGGATCCCTTGATATATATTAGTTAGTTCTTACTAAAATTCGTGCAAAATGTTTTCGTTATGTTGAAGTAAAAACCTTTTTAAGGTTGCAATTAGTTTTTCACGTGTGTAAATAATGTCTATCATGTATATACATCATAACTTTCTACATGTTTTATACGATTTAAAAAATTGCATCAACGCGTGGGTACTAATGACTACCCATTTTTGGTTGACGAGAAAGCCACGTTTTAGTGGACAAAAAACATAGTTTGATTAAAAAAATGTTAGATATAGAAAGAGAAGTTAAAAATAAAGAAAAGCCTAATGGATGAAAAAAAATAATTGAAAATATGATTTTAGCCCCTGAAACTTAAGTTTCATTACATAAAACCCGATATGGTCGTTTTATCTAAATAAAACCCAATGACTAGGTTCCACATAAGCAAATTCATTAATTGGGTTTGACTTCACACATTTTGCTTTTTTCGGATGACTTGAATACCCCTAATTACAATTTTAACTCTAATTGGAACTGAGCAAGTGTAGTTCCTTGCCCTGCGAGAACACTTTCAAGTTGCGATGTTTCGATTACCAATTGCTCCCGCTCTTGAGCCAACGCATCTAGACGCACCTGGACAGAAGTTAAAAAAGTCTCTGTGACTTGATAATCTCTCGAAACAGCTTGCTGAGAAGACCAGACTTGAGCCAGTGACAAGTTTATTGTTGCTAGCTGATGAGCTCTAACGTCTGAACTCAACTTCTCCAAGGAAATAGCACGCAAGGAAGAATACTCAATCGAGGCGGCCATAAGTTCGGCAATCTTGATCTTCAAGGATGAAGAATCAATGTTAAGGTTGTCAATCACAGAAACAAGCTTCGACAAATCCTCCTTGAGCAACATAGGGTCCTCTAACAGACACTTAGAAATCCTCTCCTTAATATGGCTCTTGATCTCCATTGTCGCACCAAGATTGATGCGATGGATGAGTCGCTCTGTGTACCGCTAAGGTTCGGCCCTTTCAAAGAGATCTCAGAGCTAGCTGGCAAAGGTGTTGAACACATGACGGGTTCTTGCATACCTCCACCTTCACATGGCAAACTCGGGAAGTTCGGCGGGTTTGGAACAAGCTCTGCACCAGGTGGATCCCCGATCTCCCTGTCTGTAGGTAGGTCGCCTGCCAATAGCATCTTCGTATAAGAATAAACATCTGCAGTTACCAAATCAAAAGGACAAGAAGGCCCAACCTAAAGAAGACAAAGAAAGATGTTAGAAACGAAAGCCAAAATGTTGAAAGCAGAAGAAATCACGAGAGAAAATGAAGTACATACATTTCTTTCAAATGGCACACGATCATCGAATTGAAGAGGTCTAAACACTTCTTTCTTCTTATGACGAAAATTGACATCGCTGTCAACCTGAGCATTCTTAAGTGGTCGCTTGTTTGAAACTTGTTGACGCTACTGTTAAATAAATCCATCTGCGTGCAAATCAACTTCATCTCCCGTCTCTTCAGAAGCATCCGGATGTCGAGGAGACAAGCATGAGCGTTGAGGAGCTAAAGCTACATGTTTATCTTGTAAGGGAGCTGCACTTACACAATCAAGAGGTACCGGTTGCATAGGAACCACAGGCCAACCCTTTCTCGACATATCATCGCCTGAGTGAAAAGAATTGGTACCATTTGCCATCCCCAAGTTCTTATAATGTGCCTTTAACCACCAACGTGCGTAAACACGGGTCACTGGATTACTCTTGAACTCATTCTTGGCTAGCAGCGTGATAACAGCATTTGTGCATGCACGGGTACAAGACTCCCAATGCATGTACACGGTTTGCAGGGATACCGATTGGTTCTTTTACTTCAGCTTGCATGGCACGTTTTGGACAAAACCAAATTGCCTGCTGATATGGTGGGGACTATATAACTGAACAATGCATCGGTCTTCTTGCCGCAAAGAAACAAACTTCGAGCGAAGACTTATAAGATAAGACAAGTCTGAGAAGCGGAGATGCGAATTATCTATGATGCATCGCCGCACCGAGCCAACTTTCGCTAAGGGGTTAATCCTCAAATCTTCACAACTTTTAAATAACGCTCGCGCTTGCAAATCATCAAGGCTCTTCGCGGAGAGCACACCAGAATACTTCGTCATCAATGGCCTCAGCTTGGCTCCAGTCGATGAAGAAGGCCTTGACTTGTTTATAGTCGACAAAGAAAAACGAGTGCCAAAATATTCACCCAACCAACCATACACATAGTGGTAATGAAGCACCGCAGCACGATCTTCAGTGCTTGCCAAGTCTGAAACAATGCTCAAGCCATTGTAAATGTTGGCTAAGACCAGAATAGCAAGGCTAAAAGACTCACCTGCAGCCATCTTGCTAGCAACTTTGAAAACTCCAGGACGAACTTGACGTCGCCTGTCGGGAAAACAAACTTACAAAGCCAGCAAGCTAAGAAAGTAGCTAGGTAAAACTCTTTCACATGCTCTGATGCTATGCCAAGATCCTCAAACGCTCTCAACCCGTCAGAAGATCGGCGCCTAGTTGAGCCAATGACACCGGACGAGTCTGAGTCTTCCTTTGGCCTAGTGGTCTTGTTACGGCCACTTTTCTTTAAAGACTTCTTATACCTCATGGCCTCCTAGTACCAAAATCGGATCCATGAGGAAATCCTCATGCCTGATTTACCTTGAGCATCTTGGAAAAACTTGTGATACGCCCAAAAACAAACAACGGCAATTCGCAGGCAATCCTTGACTATTGCAAAGAAAAAGTTCCTCCGTGTTGGGAACGACCTCGTCATTAAACTTACCTTGGATCGGCAAGCCTCCTATCATGTGAAGATCTCAAAGTGAAATTGACATCTCCTCTTACGCCGTGTGAAGTGTGTTGGTCGCTGAACACCAATGCTCAAAGAACACACGAAGGACGGATGAATGACGATCATAACTAAACAAAGATGCATACACAGCGTGGTAAATGCCCACGTTAGTAAGCACATCTTTAGATCGGTTTAGGATATCTTCAAGGCACTCCCAATAAAACTCATTAAAGACGGCTTTTCCAGTAGTCGACAGGGTATCATTCCAAGCCATGGCTCTGCTGCGGATGTGATCACCAAGAAGTTTAAACGAGGTCGGATGATGGTCACGAGCATGGTGCGAAGGATTCAAAATAAGAACCCTTGATGTGCATGCCTTTTTCTTCGTATTTGGTTGAACAGAGTCTACCACCTCTCAAGATACTTCAGAAGACCACGACTTAATATGCATAGAGTTGTCTTTCGCGAGAAAAGCAAGCGCCTTAGGACCAGTCAGTGGCGCGTAAAGCTTCAACGTTGTTCTCTCATCTTGCGAATTGCATTCCTTCGCAAGAATGGTGATGGTGTTCTTAAAACATTTGAAAAATACCATGATCGAAAAAAAAAAATCAGCCACAAAACTTGAGCAGCACGACAAAGAGGGCAGCTACAGAGCAGTCATTCAAGGCACGCTACAGTGGTAAAGGAAACCAAAATGCTACACAATCGCACTACGCAAATCCGCAGCGATTACGCAAGCAGTTTCTTGTACCGCACGTCGACATTACTACTAAGAAAAAATTATGACCAAAAGGCATTACACAGCGAAGCCCCGCTGCAGTCTCCACCACAGCACCACACGGTAGCGCACCACCGAGGAAAAACTGTGATCAAAAGGCACTACACAACAAAACCTCGTTGCAGTCTCTTGCATAAGCACTAGGCAGCAAATACACCCACGTCCTACTACCACGTCTCTTAAAAACTTCATAAGGATCCCAGCATCCTGCTCTGCCGTCTCAAAATTAAAAGAATTTTAGCATCACAACAAAGAAATCCATCAGTGGGGGCACATACATTGTGCATAAAAAATAGACACATCATATTATATATATTATATATATATATATATATATAATATATATATATATATATATATGCACATGTCAAATCCATTACTTCAAAAAATAAAAAATGAAAAATAAAAAAATGGCCTCACAAAATGAAGGTTGCACGGAGGAATTTGCTATACCCTGCATTCTCTTCTTCTCGTCTGCATCAACGTCTTTCTCTATCCTCTGTATATGATATATGTACACGAACATGACAATCACATTCTATATATATGGCATATTATATATATATATATACACACACACACACGAGGTGAATGGAGATACATACATAACCCAAAGGATTGGAGTCGTGCTCTGCTGAGAGAAACTGCACGGAGGAATTTGCTATGCCATGTCTTCTCTTCTTCCCCTATGCAGCAACGTCTCTTTCTCCACCGCAATCGAACTCCCACGAACAGCAACTCGCCTTTGTGGTTCAAACCTGCACTCGCAACCACTCTTCTTGTCCAAGCACCGAGCTCACCACATGACAGACTCGAAGAACACGTCGCAGCAAGGAAACATGACAATGCAGCAGGAATGGCAGTACAGCGAGGGTGGTGCAGCAAGAACGGAAGGTAGTGCAACGGTAGAGCAACACGAGAGGCAGTTACGGTGCAATTCTGTACGTATGTATATACAATGATCTCCAGAAAAGAAAGCGGCATGCTAAGATCTCTAATGGGACGAACAACTTTGGGATCAAAGCAATAAGGCAGCACACAGCGAAGAGCAAACGATGGTTGTCGAAGCACAACAAGAGGCAAAGACAAAACCCGATGTTGCATTACTTAAATCAAAGTCTACCATACTTATATAGAGAGTGACTGCACTAATACTCAAAACCCGCTTAAAAAAAAAAGGTTGCCTCAGCTCTAATGGTGGCGACTGTGCAAGTCCGCATGCAGAAAATGATGCAGGCGAAGAGTCCTATCGACGAACCCAGAGAAGCAGATGGAGTACGACGACTGTGCAAGTAATAGTGCGGTGACTATGTAAATGATAGTCCAGAGAACCAAGTGAAAACAGTCCGCATGCGGAGAAGAATGCGGTGCAGTGAGGAATCCCATCGAGTAAACTCAACAGTGTCAATCTACCATACTCATTATCAGAACATGTACACACACAAAAAAGAAGGTGCAAACTATTGTTAGAAGTCAAGAAAGAAAAAGGAAAATGGTGGTGGAGACAGAATGATTGAAAGGAAGAAAGTAGAGAAAGGATGGCGAATTTTCGTCTAAAAAAAGGATGATGGAATAGTGCACGACACCATCTTGGAAAAGGTTGATTACAAAAAAAAAATGTATATATGAGTGTAAATGGTGGAATCTTGGTGCATTTGCACCATGCAAAAAATAAAGGGGAAGTAACACATCTTAGTGAAATATACGTTTTATTTATGTTTAGCATAATACACCAAATAAAATAAAACATGTCCATTAATATCTCTAAGAAAGTACAAGTGCGTAAAAAAAAAAAAGCAAAAGAGAAAAGATGGAGACTTCACAAAGGTTGCTCACGTGAAGCCTCAGCACTCGGCTGAACCTTAGAAGAAGAAGGCACTAAAGATTGATCATGTGGCGCTTCAATGCTTGGTCGAACAAGTGGTCGTGTTGCCTCTTCTTTTAAAGTGGTGTCAATTGTGTTCAACATGAACACTTTGAAGATTGCCCGCCCTTGAAAATTGTTTTTGTTGTATTTATGAGATTTTACTCCCTCTAACCCTTTTCTTTTACCATTTTTGAAAATGGCATACCTGAGTAACATGTGCTTAGATTTGAGTCTCGGAAGCGATACAAGTGAGCAGCGTCAGGGTAATATATGGCGCCTGTCCTTCTTTTCTTCTAATGACCATCTTACAGTTGAAGACTCTGTGATAAGGGATGCAACGACAGCTACGGTTGTAGCTAGGAACCTTCTCTCCTAGAGATAATAAGCTACTTTCAAGGCGGTCCGATAAGTTGGTTATTCAAGACTTCCAGGCCCTCAGTGTTCAATGTGCGGGCTCTATGTCCAACATGAGCTAGCGCCTACTTGCTCGAACTCGCCAAGTTGAATCATTGACGGCCGAGGTGGAAAGCCTTGGATGAGAGGTCAAATGTTTCAAGCGCGAGAATCGAGAGTTGCGCATGCTTGCAAATGATTATTCGACGAGCATGAAGAGAAAGCTTGATCATCTGCAGGCATCTGAAGGTCGAATTCAAAGGGATCATCAGAAGTTTTTGGCTTTCTTCCAAAGGCACCTTTTGCCTTCACTTTCTGGCGTTCGACTGAGCATTGAAGCGCCACATGATCAATCTTTAGTGCCTTCTTCTTCTAGGGTTCAGCCGAGTGCTGAGGCTTCACATGAGCAACATTTGTGAAGTCTCTTGTCTTTTCTCTTTTGTTTTTTTTTTTTGTGCGCACTTGTAATTTCTTAGAGATATCAATGAACATGCTTTATTTTATTCGGTGTATTGTGCTAAACACAAATAAAACGTATATCTCACTAAGATGTGTTACTTCCCATTTATTTTTTTGCATGGTGCAGATGCACCAAGATTCCACCATTTACACACTTATATATACATTTTTTTTTTTTTTTTTTTTTTTTGTAATCACCATTTTCCAAGGTGGTGTCGTGCACTATTCCATCACCCTTTTTTTAGACGATCCTCCCCCTACTTTCTTCCTTTCAATCATTCTGTCTCCACCACTATTTTCCTTTTTTTTTCTTGACTTGCTAACAGTAGTTTGCATATTCTTTTTTGTGTGTGTACATGTTCTGATGATGAGTGTGGTAGATTGACACTGTTGGGTTTACTCGATGGGACTCCTCACTGCACAACATTCTTTTTTGCATGCAGACTGTTTTCACTTGGTTCTCTGGAGACTATCATTTACACAGTCACCGCATTATTACTTGCACAATCGTTGTACTCCATCTGCTTCTCTGGGTTCGTCGATGGGACTCTTCGCCTGCATCCTTTTTTGCATGCGGACTTGCACAGTCGCCATAATTAGAGCAGAGGCAACTTTTTTTTTTTTTTTTTTTAAGCGGGCTTTGAGTATTAGTGCAGTCACTCTCTATATAAGTAGGGTAGACTTTGATTTAAGTAATACAACATCGGGTTTTGACTTTGCCTCTTGCTGTACTTCGACAACCTTCGCTTGCTCTTCGTTGTGTGCTGCCTTATTGCTTTGATCCCAAAGCTGTTCGTCCCATTAGAGATCCTAGCATGCCGCTTTCTTTTCTGGAGATCATTGTATATACATACGTATATAATTGCACCGCAACTGCCTTTCGTGTTGCTTTAACGTTGCACTACCTGCCATTCTTGCTTCACCACCCTCGCTGTACTGCCATTCTTGCTGCATTGTCTTGTTTCTTTGCTGCGACGTGTTCTTCGCGTCTGTCGTGTGGTGACCTCGGTGCTTGGACAAGAAGAGTGGCTACGAGTGCAGGTTTGAACCACAAGAGCGAGTTGCTGTTCGTGGGAGTTCAGTTGCAGTGGAAAGAGAGAGAGATGTTGCTGCAAAGGGGAAGAAGATAAGATATGGCATAGCAAATTCCTCCGTGCAATTTCTCTCAGCAGAGCACGACTCCAATCCTTTGGGTTATGTATGTATCTCCATTCACCTCGTGTGTGTGTATATATATATATATATATATTATATGCCATATATATGGAATGTGATCGTCCTGTTCGTGTACATGTATCATATACAGATGATAGAGAGAGACGTTGCTGCAGACAGGAAGAAGAGAAGGCAGGGTATAGCAAATTCCTTCGTGCAACCTTCATTTTGTGAGGCCTTTTTTTTATTTTTTGTTTTTTATTTTTTAAGTAATAGATTTGACATGTGTGTGTGTGTGTATATATATATATATATGTATGTACACAGACATTGATTGTCCCATCACCTTTTGTGTGTGTGTGTGTGTGTATAGATATAATATGATGTGTCTATTTTTTATGCACAATGTATATGCCCCCACTGATGGATTTCTTTACTGTGATGCTAGAATTCTTTTAATTTTGAGAAGGCAGAGCATAATGCTGAGATCCTTATGAAGTTTTTAAGAGACGTGGTAGTAGGACGTGAGTGTATTTGCTGCCTAGTGCTTGTGCAAGAGACTGCAACGAGGTTTTGCTGTGTATTGCCTTTTGATCACTGTTTTCCCTCGATGGTACGCTGCCGTGTGGTGCTGTGCAAGAGACTGCAACGGGGCTTCACTGTGTAATGCGTGACGTCAACGTGCGATGCAAGAAACTGCTTGCGTAGTCGCTGCGGGTTTGTGTAGTGCAATTACGTAACATTTTGGTTTCTTTTGCTACTGTAGCGTGCCTTGAAGGACCGCTCTGTAGCTGCCCTCTTTGTCGTGCTGCTCAAGTTTTGTGGCTGATTTTTTTTTTTTTGTTTTGCGGTTATGATGTTTTTCAAATGTTTTAAGAACACCATCACCTTTCTTGCGAAGGAAGATGATTCGCAAGATGAAGGAACAACGTTGAAGCTTTACGCGCCATTGACTGGTCCTAAGGCGCTTGCTCTTCTCGCGAAAGACAACTCTATGCATATTAAGTCGTGGTCCTTTGAAGTATCTTGGGATGTGGTACACTCTGTTCTACCAAATACGAAGAAAAAGGCGTGCACATCGATGATTCTTATTTTGAATCTTTTGCACCATGCTCGTGATCATCATCCGGCCTCGTTTAAACTTCTTGGTGATCACATCCACAGCGGAGCCATGACTTGGAATGGTACCCTATCGACTACTGGAAAAGCTGTCTTTGATGAGTTTTATTGGGAGTGACTTGAAGATGTCCTAAGCCGATCTAAAGATGTACTTACTAACGTGGGCCTTTACCACGCTGTGTATGCATTTTTGTTTAGTTATGATCGTCATCCTTCCGTCATTCGTGCGTTCTTTGAGCATTGGTGTTCAGCGACCAACACACTTGACACGGCACAATGGGAGATGTCAATTTCACTTTGGGATCTTTATAGGATATGAGGCTTGCCGATCCAAGGTAAGTTTTATGACGATGTCGTTCCCAGCGCGGATGAACTTTCTCTTTGCAATAGCTGAGAATTGCATGTGAGTTGCCGTTATTTGTTTTGGGCGTATCACAAGCTTTTCCAGGATGCTCAAGGTAAATTGAGGATTTCATCATGGATCAGATTTTGGTTTACTGGGAGGCCATGAGGTATAAGCAGTGTTCTAAAAATCGGCCTAGGCGGTGCCTAGGCGCTGGGCAGTGGCCAACCGTCGAGATTAATGCAAAATCGGGAGAAAAATTGGGACATGGATTAGGTGGGTGCTGAGGCGACTTGAGTGGCCCTTGGGCGGCCTAGGTGGTCTGGGAATTTCAATTTTTTGTGTTCGAACTTGAGAAATGATGAATGCATATTAGCTGTGTTCTGGTTTTTCTGGGTTTCATGAGTTGCCTGTGTTCTTGCGAAGAGGAAGAAGATGAGAAAAAACTAATTTCTCTCTCTTCCTTCCACACCCACGTGATCACTTTCAAATTATTTAATGTAATTTTTGTTTTGTTTTGTTTCTATCCAATTGGATAGCTAGCTTGACTTTTATAAAGAAAAAAGGCTGTCACCTATCAATCCATCCATAGCATCAAGTGCTATTAATTTTTTTCCTATTAAAAAAACATTAGATTGTCAGGCCGTTTCATAGCATAAGTCCTATTGATTTTCTATACTTGTTAGATACACATTTTATTATTTTTTTACTATCTTATTTAGGGATTTCATACAAGTATATATATATATATATATATATATATATATATATATATTTTTTTTTTTTTTATATAAATGTCAGTATACATTTATTTACAAGATATACAAGAAATTTATCTAAATCCACCTAGGCCGTCTGGGCGCCCATCTAGACCCCGCCTAGGCGCTAAGCACCAACCTGCCGCTAGACTAGCGACTATCGTTTTTTAGAACCTTGGGTATAAGAAGTTTTTGAAGAAAAGTGGCCGTAACAAGACCACTAGGCCAAAGGGAGACTCAGACTCGTCTGATGTTTGTGGCTCAACCAGGTGCCGCTCTTCTGACGAGTTGAGAGCGTTTGAGGATCTTGGCATAGCATCAGAGCATGTGGAGGAGTCTTACCTAGATGCTTTCTTAGCTTGCTGGCTTTGTAAATTTGTTTTCCCAACAGGCGACATCAACTTAGTCCATCCTGGAGTTTTCAAAGTTGCTAGCAAGATGGCTGCAGGTGAGTCTTTTAGCCTTGCTATTCCGGTCTTAGCCAACATTTACAAGGGCTTGAGCATTGTTTCGGACTCAGCAAGCACTGAAGATCGTGTTGCGGTGCTTCCTTACCACTATGTGTATGGTTGGTTGGGTGAATATTTTGGCACTCATTTTCTTTGTCAGACTCTTGACAAGTCAAAGCCTTCTTCATTGACTGGAGCCAAGCTGGGGCCTTTGATGACGAAGTATTTTGGTGTGCTCTTCGCAAAGAACCTTGATGATTTGCAGGCGCGAGCGTTATTTAAAAGTTGTGAAGATTTGAGGATGGACCCCTTAGCGAGAGTTGGCTCGGTGCGGCGAGGCATCATAGACAATTCGCATCTCCGCTTCTCAGACTTGTCTTATCTTATAAGTCTTCGCTCGAGGTTTGTTTCTTTGCGGCAAGAAGACCGATGCATTGTTCAGCCATATAGTCTCCACCGTTTTAGTAGGCAATTTGGTTTTGCCCAAAACGTGCCAGGCAAGCTGAAGGAAAATAACCAATCGGCATCCTTGCAAGCCGTGTACATGCATTGGGAGTCTTGTACCCCTGCATGCATAAATGCTGTTATCACGCTGCCAGCCAATGATGCATTCAAAAGTAATCCAGTGACCTGTGTTTAAGCACATTGGTGGTCAAAGGCACATTTTAAGAACTTGGAGATGGCAAGTGGTATCAATTCTTCTCACTTATGCGACGATATATCGAGAGAGGGTTGTCCTGTGGTTCCTATGAAACTTGTACGTCTTGATTGCGCAAGTGCGACTCCCTTACAAGATAAACTTGTAGCTTTAGCGCCTCAACGCCCATGCTTATCTCCTCGACATCCGAATGCTTCTGAAGAGACGGGAGATGAAGTTGATTCGCACGAAGATGGATTTATTTTGCAGCAGCGTCAACAAGTTTCAAACAAGCGACCACTTGAGGATGCTCAGGTTGACAGCGATGTCAATTTTCGTCATAAGAAGAAAGAAGTGTTTATACATCCTTAATTCGATGAACGTGTGCCATTTGAGAGAGATGTATGTACTTCATTTTCTCTCGTGATTTCTTCTGCTTTCATCATTTTGGCTTTCGTTTCTAACATCTTTCTTTGTCTTCTTTAGGTTGGGCCTTCTTGTTCTTTTGATTTGGCAACTGCATATATTTATTCCTATACGGAGATGTTATTTGCAGGCGACCTACCTACAGACAGGGAGATCGGGGATCCGCTTGGTGCAAAGCTTGTTCAAAACCCGCCGAACTTCCCGAGTTTGCCATGTGTAGGTAGAGGTATGCAAGAACCCATCATGCGTCCAACACCTTTGCCAGCTAGCTCTGAGATCTCTTTGAGAGAGTCGAACCTTAACGGTACTGAGCGACTTTTCCATCGCATCAGTCTTGGTGCGGCAATGGAGATCAAGAGCCATATTGAGGAGAGGATTTCTAAGTGTCCGTTGGAAGACCTTATGTTGCTCAAGGAGGATTTGTCGAAGCTTATTTTTGTGATTGACAACCTTAACGTTGATTATTCATTCTTGAAGATCAAGATTGCCGAACTTATGGCTGCCTCGACTGAGTATTCTTCCTTGCGTGCTATTTCCTTGGAGAAGTTGAGTCCAGATGTTAGAGCTCATCAGCTAGCAACAATAAACTTGTCATTGGCTCAAGTCCAGTCTTCTCAGCAAGCTGTTTCAAGAGATTATCATGTCACAGTGACTTTTTAAACTTCTGTCTAGGTGCGTCTAGATGCGTTGGCGCGAGAGCGGGAGCAGTTGGTAATCGAAGCATCGCAACTTGAAAGTGTTCTCGCGGAGCAGAGAACTACGTTTTCTCAGTACCAAGAGGAGATTTCGCGCCTAGAACGAGAGAAAGACATGACTATAGGGTTGCCCATCTTGTCTCCCACCAAGGTAGACTATTTGGAAGGCTTGCTTGAAGATCGCCTTCGTAGTTTTAGGGACATAGTTTTCAAATTGTATCTTCTGTTTTTTTTTCTTGTAATAAGGCTTTGGAGCCGATTCCTTCTTTCAAAGAAATAAAATATTTACATTTTTGAATTTGCTCTTCAATCTTCAAAGTGTTTTTTTTTTAGATGGTGTGACTGTACTTGAAGTTTTGACATTTCAAGTTGCCTACGTACCATCTGTTGAGGAGGGATCAAGTCATAACGTAGTTCAAATGCATTTTTTTTGTGCCGTGCGCAGTTTATGCTTTTGCGGGCCAGGAGTATGGCGTTTGTTTTAGGGGTAGTAGCACTTCAAGAATCTGCCATTGATGGGATCGATCTGTAAGCTGTCTTCTGCCATGATTAAGTAGGCGCCGTTGATGTAGACCTCTTGTATTACGTATGGTCCATCCCATTTTGATGTGAACTTGCTTTTTGTCTTGTGAATTGTGATAATAGGCCTATGCAATGCGAGGACGAGATCTCCAGTTTGGAAAGACCTTGGGCGGACCTTCTTGTTGACTGCCTTGGATAGCCATGCTTGGTAGCATTCCAAATGTTGTTGAGCTTCGAGCCTTCTTTCGTCGAGTGCTTCCAACTCTTGAAGGCGCAGCTTTGCATTCTCTTCATCAGTCAAGCCTTATTGTATAACCATTCTTAGTGAGGGGATCTGATTTTCGAGTGGTATACTAGAGAATAAGGTGTAGCTTGGGTAGGAGTCTTATGTGTCGTCCGGTGTGCCCAAAATGCTTCGCTTAATCAGGAGATTGCACAATGTTTTGTTGAATACTTCTGCAAGACCGTTAGTCGGAGCATGATACATGGAAGACTTGTGCTGCTTGAACTTGTATTTCTCGCAGAGCTCGTCCACGAGTCGGTTGGAGAATTGTTTTCCGTTGTCAGTGATGATGTAGCAAGGCACACCATATCGGTGGATGATATGTTCCTTGATGAAACGGACGACAGGTTCCTTCTTTACTTCCTTTAGGGGTATGGCTTCAGCCCACTTGGAGAAGTAATCTATTGTAGTTAGGATGTAAGATTCTCCTGCAGATGACTTTGGAGTAATTGGTCCTACGACGTCCAATCCTCATGCATCGAATGGCCATGAAGTAGCTGTAGGGTGTAATGGCTCAGGTGGTTGATGTATGAAGTTAGCGTGGAATTGGCAGGCTTAGCACCTTTTGGCATGTTCCAGGCAATCCTTCACCATGCTTGGCATGTTTCAGGCAATCCTTCACCATGCTTGGCATGTTTCAGGCAATCCTTCACCATGTATGAAGTATGGGACAAGATCATCTTTCCTCACCTCATATTCAGTCAAGAGTTGATTGATTATGAGCTTGAAGTCGCTATATACCTCGAGAGCTATGATTTCCATGTTGATCGCCATTTGGCGATGATCAGTGCTTGGTACTCAGCGACGTTGTTGGAGCATAATTCGCTCAGTTGGAATGAATAAGGTAGTATTTGCTTTTATGGCGATATGAATACTATTCTTGCCCCCGCTTCGTCCGCTCGTGCAGATCCGTCGAAGAACATCGTCCATGTTAGGAACATCGTAAGGCAAATCGTCTGAGATTTTCCAATCAGTTGGGATTGGGTGATTGGCAAGAAAGTCTGCTAGCGATTGCCCCTTGACGGCTTTAGCGGGGACGTATATGATCTCATACTGATGAAGAAGCAACGCCCATTTAGCGAGTCGTCCTGTTAAGACTAGTTTGGACATGACGTATTTGATCGGGTCAGCTTTAGCAACCAAGTGGATAGTGTAAGCATGCATGTAATGCCTGAGCTTTTGGATGGCGAACACCAAGGCAAGGCACATCTTTTCTATTGGGGAGTAGTTCAACTCGGTGCCGGTGAGAGTTCGGTTGAGGTAGTAGAGCGCTCATTCTTTCTGGGATTCATTCTCTTGTGCCAAGAATGCTCCAACTGAACTTTCCTGAGCTGCGATATACAATATGAGTGGTTTCCCGAGCACAGGCACCCCTAAGACAGGTGGACTTGAGAAATACTTTTTTATGCTTTCAAAAGCATTGTGGCATGCTTCGTCCCATACAAATGGAACATCATTCTTCATGAGTCAGATGAACAGTTGACAACGCCCTGCAAGGTTGGAGATGAAACGTCTGATGAAAGCTAGTCGTCCTTGTAGACTTTTCAGCTCGTGCAGGTTTCTTGGCTCAGGCATGCTTTGAATGGCCTTGATTTTTTATTGGTCCACTTCAACACCACGGTGCTTGACAATGAAGCCGAGGAACTTTCCAGAGGTGACGCCAAACGCACATTTTAACGGGTTCATCTTGAGGTTGTATTTTCGCAGCCTTTCGAACATTATTCGCAAATCCTTCAAGTGGTCTGATCTTTTCTTTGTCTTGGCCACCACATCATCTACATAACATTCTACGTTTTTGTGTAGCATGTCATTGAAGATTTTCTGCATTGCACATTGATATGTAGCTCCAGTGTTCTTCAGACCAAAGGGTATCACCTTGTAGTAGTAGATACCTTTTGGAGTGCGGAAGGCTGTTAGTTCCTCGTCTTCGAGAGCCATACGAATTTAAT